AAGTACCCATTGCATTTCTACTGGCTGGTTTCCGGCTACAGCTCATTGATGAAGCTGCGAATCTTCCTCTCCCCGCTACAGGGCCTGGGAAGGTTCGTCGTATAGATTTTGGTTTTGCGAGCTTCGACCTTTCATTTGTAAGTGTTTGTTAATTACATCCGTGACCTTTCACGTGGTCTGATTTCCAAAGTGTTGACCATCCACTCCGTTCTGCGGCAGTCACTCTAGAGGACTCAATCAGCCGAATAGGGAGCAAGTCTCCAAGCGAAACCAAGGCGGCGGCTCTGGAAAACCATTTTCAGGCTCGGCTAAAGCAACATGGCAGCCTTTGCGTTGCTAATGGCGACGGAAGCACGGCTGATATCAGGAACATCAACCTCTGGGAGAGCACAAAAATTGAAGAGATAACAACAGCAGAGGCGTGTTGCGCCAACGCCTTTGCGAGTATTGGGCGTTCCGAACCTGATCATGAACAAACAGTTCCACACACAGGGCCTTTCTGCCACGAGCTCAAATGGTTGCAGCAGGCCTGCCTCAGGAGCAAGTCTTCTGTTGCGGGTAACTGAGAATCTGTCCAAAGGCATTGGCTGACAGACGTGCTTGCGGGAAACAGTGGGATGGATGGAAGACGCAATTGAGACACGTCCTGCACTTCAAAGATCTGACGAGTGACAACGCTGGCTTGTTCGACCACTTGGAAAATTCATAGTCATCTGAGCAGGGCTCCGAGCGAGTGCCCTGCCACGAATCTTATAGCCCTCACAATAGACAGGGAATGCAAGATTCGCTCAAATCCCGTCCAGGCACACTTGGTGACATGAGGATGGGCAACGGCACGATGCAACTGCTTTTGGACCCTCCTAAGGCCAGGATGTAGTTGGACTGCGGCTCGTACCCGCCCGTGTAGTTTCGTGCACTTTTCATGGTTCTGCAACATTTTGAGCTCAAGTTTTGCAGGGCTTCGTGGGTGGGGAGACATGATAACGTTCATTTGGAACTTGCAGGTTTTGAAGGACTTCATGGGTGGGGGGACATGATAGCGTTCATTGGGAACTTGCAGGTTTTGAAGGATTTCGTGGGTGGGGGGGGGACATGATAGCGTTCATTTGGAACTTACAGGTTCTGAAGGGCTTCATGGGTGGGGGGGACATGATCGCGTTCATTTGGAACTTGCGCGTTTTGAAGGGCTTCATGGGTTTATGATTAGGGACTATTTCAAATGAGGGCCTTCTTAAGGACTGCTTCAAGTTAAGGTCTCATTCGGGATTATGTCAAATTCGATATTTATCAGGTACTATTCCAGATTACGGCCTTATTAAAGAATATCTCAAATTAGAGCTTCATCAAGGACTAGTGCAAATTAGGGCCCTAGTAGGGATTGTTCCAAAGTTGGCTTCATTACGGACTACTTTCAATTAAGGCCTGATTATACGGATTAGTCCAAATTCCAAATAAGGGCCTCATTAGGGTTCCAATTTTAGGGCCGACTGGGGACCATTGCAATTCAGGGCCTTGGAATCTGTTTCTGGAATTTTGTATTAGGGGGTGTTCAATATTAGGAAAAAGCGATTGTGGCTAGATCTCGAAGCTCGAATTAATCCTCCTCCCCCGACTGCCATGATGCAGTACATCTTTGACAGCAGCACCTGGATATCTGCGAAGACACGTGCTGGGGAAAGCCGCGAAAAGACTCTGCAAGCAAATGCATGACCATTAGATTGGCCAAGATCAACAAGCAAATTGGAGCTCGTGATCTCACAATCCTAAACAACTCGACGAACCCGAGGGGCCAATTTTTGGGCCAGGGCCAAACCGATGCTTTTCTCAGAAATCACACGACTGCGACGGTTTCGTGCATGTGGAAACATGCCCCTTGCTCTCTCGTACCTCAGGCGCCCATGCGCGGCAGGCCATGTAGTTCATTTCAGTCCGCAGCTAGGATGACGTGGCCACAAACTTCACACTTCCAACCCACAGTTCCACACTGCTCCCAACTACTACAACTGCTGCTACTCCTCCTGCTACTGCTGCTGCTGGTGCTTCTCTGCCGCTACTACTGCTGTTGCTCCTCCTC